ATGTTCCATTACACAGGTGTTTATATTTGAGCTAACGAGGCGTCCAGAGATCAAAGGTTTCCATTTTTCTGAATGAGAGATAAACCTCTTACATGTGAACGTTTTGTTGAAGAACCGTAACAGATATCTGTGAAATTTCAAAACATGAAGCATCTCATGGACCTTGAGTATCTGAAGTGTAATTTTTGTGTACTTTCGGGTTAATAATGTGGCCTTTTTGGCAGTTTAACTAAAGGTGTGCGGCTGCTGCTGTGAGGAAATATCTGCCTGAAATTACAATGGGCTTTAATGGAGACATGTTGAAAGTTTTTGTCACTTCATGCCCTCAAGAGGCCTTTTGTTTAATTATTTTTTGCTTAATTATTTGTCATTTTTCAAGCTACGGGATGTTTTCCTACGTTTGTCATGAAAAATTATGTCTCAGGAATGTACAGTAGGGTTTGGGAATTATGGCAGGTTTAAAAAAAATATATGAAGGCAAATTTCAAACTGTCCTCCACTCTAACTCTGACATCACGCACTCTGCCTTAACGAGCTGCGCAATGTTAATGTTAAAAATGTGATGAATTATGGGCTATATCTCGGGAATTATGAAAGTTATGAATGATAAAAGTAATAGCCATCGATTCCCGCCCGAGCTGAACGTTTTGATGTTTGAACGGAGTTTCTGCGATGTGGAATGCGGGAGAAGAAGAGGGCCAAAATAACAGGCGGAATAATAAAGAATTTCGTGCGTAAAAGAACACCAAAAAATGGCTCAACGTACCCCACTCTCCCCTATTGTAAAATAATTAACATCTGCCAATACAGTTTATTTATTTCTGAAGTCTCGAGGTCAACATACGTTCTGCTGCAGATTTGAAGCTGTGCTCTGTGTTTTGATCATAGACTGTATAAAGGTTTTGATATGTCATGCTTTTGGAGCAAGTCCAGTGCCCTGTACTACGAAGCCAGTTCAACAGACTGGGGGTGCATCTCAATGTCGAGTAAAGCTGCTCCAGAGCCACTATTTCAAGGATTACTACATCATTGAGTGCCGCCGAAGGACTATTCCAATGTCCAGCATACTTGGAATTCTACCGAGCACAGCGTACTTCATAGCGAGAAATTTCGAGCCTGCACATGTATAGACTCCGCGGTCTTAAAATCCCCACAATGCGGCCAGAGGCCCCGCCTTACATTTTTTCGCCACAGATTTTGGAGATTGTTCCGTGCGTAAAGCATTATGGGGATTTTAAGACCGCGGAGCCTGGACTTTGGAACAGTCCTTCGGCGGGACTCGATGACGTAGCATCCTTGAAATAGTGGCTCTGGAGCAGCTTTCCTTGACATTCAGAGACAGCCCCTGCATATGTTTGAGTTATCTGACTTAACTAACCCTAACAAACGAGATCTCGCTAAGCGGTACTACGGCGCTGGTTATCAACTCGGTAAATCAACCCAGGATTTCTCTGTCAGGCTGAAAGCGTGTTCACGTGAAAGGGGCGGGGTTAGCAACATTTGACCAATCACAAACATGGACAAGCGTACCGACAGCACAGCATCATACTTCATGAATGAAAAGTAAACTATAATAGACATTATGAAGAAGTTAAACTTTAAACATCCATGACTTAAACTGATAAACCAGGATAAAAGCCACATAGTTGCACCTGCAAGGTGAATACAGAACAGCTGGAAGAAAAAAACTAACGAGTGTTTGAATGCGTACATTAACAGGTTTATGATATCACTGCCCCATCGAAGACACGAGTGGATCTGACTTTAATTACATTTGACTTTCTTCAACTTAACGTGTGTTTCTTAAAATACTGCAACGGCAGTTTAAATACTGCAACGGCAGTTTAAACTGTATTTCCAATATAGCTTTAAACTCCGCACACTGAGCTCTGATTGGTCAGCAGGCGGTGCGTTCACTGAGGGAACCGTGCAGCAGAGTTTCATTTACAACTTATTCTCGACAGTCAACATGTCCGTTGAAGTTTAAATCTTCCGGACAAAATTAGAAAAGTTCTTCTTTGTTATTAATTGAGCTTTAAAACAAATGAATAACGACTCTATATAATAATATAAGAATAATATACGGAGTCTCTCTTTTCCTCCCCCTCTCCTGACAGCCCGTCAGTATTTTCGTTATCAGGAAATGATCGTATAGGGCGTAGACACGGGGCCGTTTCGTTTAGCCCCCCAGAGCGTTGCGTCCTCAGATCTACCCACCTTGGGAACCGTTATCGTTATAGTTATCGATATCTGCGTTTCCCTGTCGGCCTTGTGTGGCCGAACCGTCTATATGATAGAGACTGTAGCAGATACCATCCGTTTCGTCTCCGTGTGGCTAGGGCATGAGTTGATCTCTTATCTGGAACTTATCTGCTCCGGAGCAGGTTATGTGTTCAGCATAAGTTACCATGGAGATCTACCCCAGTAAGAAATGAACCAACGTTGTAGGACCGGAAACCCATAGCTTTCCCTGAAGTTAGCTCGCTAAACGAAAATCCGGCTTCGTAGTACAGGGCACTGATAAAGTGAGAGCTGAAACAGCAGCTTTCATCCGAGGGTCATGTGACTGAGAAGAGTCTGCAGTGGTGTAAAGTAACTAAGTGCATTTACAAGTGCTGTACTTCAGTACAATGTTGAGGTAACTTGAAGTTTTCCAGTTTATAATACTTTATACTTTTACATGTTGGAAGTAAATATTGTTATTTTTACTCCGACATTTATTTAACAAGATGAGTTACTTTGCAGGCTCATATTATCAATAACACATTTATATCAGCTACTGAATTATGATGTACTAGGGTTTATATACCTGGTGTGTTAAGAGAAAGTGTGTGTGTGTGTGTGTGTGTGTGTGTGTGTGTGTGTGTGTGTGTGTGTGTGTGTGTGTGTGTGTGTGTTCCTCACCAGTACTCTGCCTGGTAGGTCCACTGACAGTATGTATGTGTTGCCATGGACTTTAACAGTCACCACTTTAGCATACGACACTCTTTTGTTGCCACGGTTATTATTCTCCAGCTTTATCTGCAGCACCGAGAGGAGAGGAGACAAGAGGAGAGACAGAGAGGAGACAAGAGGAGAGACAGAGAGGAGACAGAGAGGAGAGGAGACAGAGAGGAGACAGAGAGGAGAACAATAATATGCATTTAGATATTTAACTAAAAAAGCAGAAATGAAAATTGCATGTAAAAAAACATTTCATTATCTGGAAATAATTCTTCAAACATCGATCCCATTCCCTTGGAGGGGTCAGCGCCTTTGGGAGAGGACAAAGCTGGTGGTTTCACTTTCAAAATAAAAGCATGTGTCAGTGATACGAGTTATTCTCCCAAACAAAACAACTACACAACAATAATAACAATAAGAATATTAGTATTAATAATAAGAATAATAATGATCCTACCACTAATACTATTAATAGCAACAATAGTACTGATAATATTAATAATAATAATAACAATGTTTACATTTATTTTTATTATTATTATTATAGTGATGATGATGATGATGATGATGATGATGATGATGATGATATAATAATAATAATAATAATAATAATAATAATAATAATAATAATAATATTGATAATATGAATAGTAGTATCATTATTATCAATAATAATAATAATGAAACTCCAAGCTGCTCACCTCAAAGGGCTCCAGGCCTGACTGATCTCCACACACACCAGCCAGCTTGTACACACAGTTGCCCTGGAAGTCGAACCTGCGTCCATCGAAAGAGGTGTAGTGGGGGTCTCCGTGTGTGCTGCAGGTCTTGAAGCCCACGGGGACGCAGCCTTGGACGCCGTCTACAACGCTGCATTTCTCTCCCTTCCGACAGCCCGCCTGCTTACATTTCACCTTCTGCGTGCCTGCGTCACACACACACCTCTGGTTACACAGCGAGTCGGCCCAGAAAGTCTCACCTGGCAGGTAATAGCTGTCGTCGTGGTTACAACCACAGCCCTTCTCCTTGATCACACACCTGAGAGAGAAGAAGAGAGAGAGGACATTATAAATCTCCCAGCATTTATTTTCATGAGGTGGAAAAAAGTTATATATAACAATGAGTGCAAGCAGGATTTCTATAAGGACAGCATTGCTATTCTAAATACCATAACTTGAACGTAACGTGTGAAGATGTTGTACTCACTCTTTCCCACTGTGCACGTATCCAGGGTCACAGAAGCAGCCCTCCACACAGGCCTCAGGGCAGACCTCGGGCTGGGGGCCACAGCTGGGAGGGCACGCTGAGCCACACACATTGTAGTGACTGTGGGCCGGACACTCCACAGCTGGGGGGGGGCAGAGATGAGGACACAGACAGACATAAGAAAACATGGCTGCTAAAAGAGGAGCCATTATGCCCACAGTGTGGAAACAGCAGCACCACCTCACACAGTAAGTAAGCATCCTCAATTATAACTGACCAGGTCTCCACTCTCACCTCTTTATTATTATTATTCTCATGTATTATACCAATTGACTTTCAGCATTGTTACTATTTTTTCCTAATGAATGTGTCCATGCACTCCTTGTGTTCCTTGTAAGGAAAACAAGTTGGTCTTGCAAATGTTTATGATCTTAACTGTACATTTCAAATGTTTATTTATAGATGTTGCAATTGTACAAAGCTTTGGCAATACCTCATTATGGTCATGCTAATAAAGCTATTTGAATTGAATTGAATTGAGAGGGGGAGCACTGGTGCCCATGTGATCTGACCACAGGCCTGCAGGTATGCAATAGGACTTCTAACAGAAGGCTTTACCCAGTTCATCTTATAATGGGAAGTTGTTGTGAGTACTGTCAACCTTTGAATACACACGATCAGACTAAACACACTGTGGCAGGTCCACATCAGTGAGGGACTTCCTGTCTGCCTGTAGTGTTTCAATTAATGTACAGTATGGAGTGGTGGAAGAAGTACTCTGATTATGTACTTTAGTCAAAGTAGCAATACTACAGTGTAAAAATACTAAGCCATGCATTCAAAATTGTTGTTTTTTAAAGTAAAAGCAAAGTTATTAGCATCAGAATGTAATTGAAGTACCACAAGTTCTCAGAAAGGCACATTTAAACACATTCTATATTTAGGGCCAGAGCACGGGGCGCTAGGACCCAACGGCGTCCTAGCACGAAGTGCGAGGAACCTATTGTTATTGGAGGAATTCTTCTTATTTTTCTGCTGGCGTTTCCTGTTTTTGAGGTCTTTAGGATGCTTCAAAAGTTGTATAATTTTCCACAGATTCCAGAATCGGTGAAAACTACAATATTCTGGACTCAATTTGTTCAAATTGTCCAGCATGCTCTCTAGCGCCACCTAAGGCCATTTCCACTTTTGGAAAAATGTACAAAGTCGCACCGTAACTCCGAATGACCTGACATTTTGCACACTTATTCAGGTGGACCTGCTCTACATATAATCTCCTTGAACCCCAAAACTCCGCCAACTTTATTTTTTTCTTGATTAGCATAATTTCAAAAACAGTTAAATATTCACTTAAATTTCAAATTTTAGTTTTTCAACACCAAACTCAGTATACAGCATCGCTGGAGGGTCAGACACATTATCATAGGAAATGAGCATGTTCAGTCGATAAATGTGGCCGTCATTACTCTAAACGTGTTTGCAAAAAGGCGGGGCTTGGATAGAAATGCTCATAACTCATCAACAATGTACCAAAAAAACACATTTTGGTGGTAAGGTTCAGTCTGTTTGGGGAATAGGCACAAAAAGTAATTTTCATTTTGGACTATAGGCGGCGCCAAAAACATGACAAATGTATAACTCATGAACTGATGGATGAAATTATAATTTTTTATAGACATATTCTGGGGATGAGTATGAACTTATATTTAAAGTGTTAATACAAATGACAAATGTGGGCGTGGCCTGTACTTTTTTTTTTATGACAATGTGCTAAAATGTGCTTCGGGACGCAAAACTTGGGAGACACGACCTTTTCGAGAATGTAAAAAAAAAACTGCTCAGTAGCGCCCCCTATTGTGTGGTAGTCACATATAGTTTCTCAGAACTTCC